AGTAATTTTAGCAGGGGAGGGTAGCTGTAATCCTAGCTACTCAGGAGAATGAGAAAGGACAATAGTTTGAGCCCAGGCGTTGAAAACCAGCCTGGGCAGCACAGCAAGACCTCAGCTCAACAAACAAACAACAAACAAACATAACCAACATATAATTTAGTCCTTTTAAACCAGCACTGGTCTAGTATATATAAAAATAATTTATGGGCTAGGCATGGTTGCTCATGCCTGTAATCCCAGCATTTTGGGAGGCTGAAGTGGGTATATCACTTGAGGCCAGGAGTTTGAGACCAGCCTGGCCAGCCTGGCAAAACCGCGTCTCTACTAAAAAAAAAAAAAAAAAAAAAAAAAAAGAATTAGCTGGGCGTGGTGGCACATGCGTGTAATCCCAGTTACTCAGTGGGCTGAGGAAGGAGAATCATTTGAACCCAGGTGGCAGAGGTTGCAGTGAGCCAAGATTGCACGACTGCACTCCAGCCTTAGCGACAGATTGAGACTCTGTCTCAAATAAATAAATAAATTCAATAAAAACAATTTATAAATTATTGGAATATTAAGTAACTTTCCCTGGATGATGTTTTCCTTCATCATCTCGGCAATTTTTGCTTGTTTCCTCACTGTAACCTCCACCTCCTGGATTCAAGTGATTCTCCTACCTCAGCCTCCCGAGTAGCTGGGATTACAGGCATGAGCCACTGCGCCTGGCTAATTTTGTATTTTTAGTAGACATGGGGGTTTCTGTCTGTTGGTCAGGCTGGTCTCGAACACCCGACCTCAGGTGATCTGCCCGCCTCGGCCTCCCAATGTGTTGGGATTACAGGCATGAGCCACTGCGCCCAGCCCCACTTGTTCTTTATCAGTGTCATCAAGGAATGAAGGAAACAGAGAAGAACAAGTCAGTGCCGAACCCTGCAGGAAGATCCCTCAGTTTCCATTTTGCCTTTCTAAAATCAGCCTCTGGAGACACTCTCCTGGTTTAATATCCACTGACATTTCTTTATATTTGTTCACCCAGCTCTTCCAAATACTACTGTGATGATATTTTATAATTAAATAGCTAGAAAATATTCCTTACCAGCCAAAAAGACTAATTACAGAATGTAGAAATGCATCCCCTCAAGGATGCTCATGCTTATTTCGAAATAATTTTAGATTTACAGATGAGTTGCAAAAATAGTATAGAGTTCTTACATACTCCTCAGCCATCTTTGCCTAATGTTACCATCTTATGTAATCATGGTTCTAGTACTATTGTTCACCCTACCGTGCTACCCCTGTGGTCAGTAGTCATGCTCAGCATGTTGTTTTCCCTTCCAGGCCTACATTCCACCTTCCATAACCCTCTTACACGTCCCAGAAGGCTGACCAGCGTGTACTGCATCAGAAGTCTCCCCTTTCACTCTGGCTCCCCATTGGGATCAACCAATCAAAGCAGCAAGAGATTGGAGAGCAGGGCATTTATCCCACACCCACCCCCTCCTTGACTCCTTGCAAGAGCATCTCTTTACCAAAGGTTCCAGCCCATGCTTCCTCTACTCAGCTGGAGCTACATTACCTGGTTCCCAGTCACCATCCCCCTTCAGGCCTAGGATTAGTAATAGCTCTGGCTTCATTAGACCTGGATTTCTTCACCATCCTTAGTTCTTTCCTTAACCCTCCCCACACCATTTAAAGTAATTCGTCTATTAAACTCTGTTCAAACCCCCAATCGACTGTGCTGTCTGAGTTTCTCCAGGGACAATGACTAACAATCTAACAAAATTAATATCACCTTAAAATCGACTTTCTTAAAGGGAATATACACTCCTACTTACCTGCCCCCACCACACACACACAAAGTAAAAGTTATTTACACAAAGGTTTCTTCCAAGAGGAATTCTAAACCACATCACTTAAAAGGCCAAGTTCATGATTCAAGGACTGGAATTAGACCACATCTCTACCTAGATCAAGAGTCAAGGAAATGCTTGTGTTTCCAATAATAACATTGCTAACAAGATGTCATCTATGTATGAAAATAACTAGTGATCACCAATAGGCTTGAACAGGAAGCTGATGCTGAGCCACCCCCACCCACCACTGGTGCACCATTAGCTGATACCCATTCTGGCCTTTAGAGTGCTTTGGCCAGAACTATCATTTCAGCTACAGGAAGAATCTCTAATTAGGATTTAGATCACTATTTAGTTTTTAATTTTGAAGTACAATAGAATGAATATAGGTATAAATAAGGATAATAGTTTCCCTTTTTTTTGGAGACAAGGTCTGATTCTACCGCTGAGGCTGGAGTGCATATAGCTCATGTGATTATAGCTCACTGCAGCCTCCAACTCCTAGGCTCAAGCGATCCTCCCTCCTCAGGCTAATGAGTAGCTATGACTACAAGTGCATGCCATCGCATCCAGCTAATTTTTAAATTTTTCATAGACACAGGATTTTGCTACGTTTTGTGGGCTGGTGTTAAACTCCTGGCCTCAGGCAATCCTCCTGCCTTGGCCTCCCAAAGTTCTGGGTTTACACGGATGAGTCATCACACCTGGTGGATAATAGGTATGTTTTTAAGAGGAGAGGGATATAAGACATTCCAGCCAATTTCAGCCCCACAACTAGATTCAGTAGTTATCAGGTTCAGATCAGTGTAGGATGAAACAAGTCTCAAATTCTATACCCAACTTCTTGAATCACGTTCTTCACCTATCCAACTACTTTCTAATACATGATGAAAATGAAAAGTCAATCAGGATACCTGCAGCATCCACACTGACAAAGAGTAAATGATCCAGGAGATTTCACAGGAAGCAGACTAAATTTCTGGAATAATGCCAAATGTAAAGACAGCAAATTATGATGGAAGATCAAATCATAACCTGTGAGATTCCCATCACTGGTCCCCCAGGAAGCATCCTCCTAGAACGTTGAAGTCCTCACTCATAAAACCTTAAGCTGATAGTTGTATTCCTCTCCCACTCTCCTTCCCAAACACAGGTTTCATTTTCTTATGTCTCCTATAGGATTATATAATATTCTACATTTGCTCTATGAATTTTATACACATCAAGCTAAAATCCAAAAGTTTTTTTTTTTTTAGCATTTCTACTGTGAAGCAGAGAAACAAAGCTTTCTTTGGATGAGAAAAAAAATTATGTCTAACAGAAAGTGTAGAAAAACATTTTTAAATGCCAACATCAGAAATTTTTTTCCTTTTAGAATATTTTCCTGCTCTTGTACAACAATTGCTAACTATAGAGGAACGTGAGCAACAATTTGGTTCTGCTTGCTGTTGCAGATGAAATGTGGCCACCCACAGGTACTTTTTTTCTTTTTCTTTTAAATCAGAGTCCACTACCATGATTCCAAAAAGCAACACATGGTATATTTACTTTTTAAATTTATTTCAGGTGACAGGACACTCACAATCTAACAAAATAAACATAGAATTAGATTGCATTCTCAAAGTCCAATTCTACTTCCTAGCCAAGGCAGGAGAAGATATAGATACTAGGCTTGGTCTGTATTAGTTTTCTCCATATAGTCTATCCCTTTCTCCTGCTAACCCCCATCGACAACTCCAACGAATGAGAGCCATTTATAAGAGTAAGACTACAACTATTTCTCACAAAATGCCTGAGATGGATATAGCCAAGACAGAAAGTATAGAAGGAGGTTTTAATGATAAACTTCTATCTTTGTTGGAAGGAAAAGGAGAAAAAGGGAGTTGATGGATCAACACAAAGAAGAAAAACAGAAAAGGGTTTAATTTACCTTGAGAATAACCATGATTCTATTTGTCCAGGCCCAGTGAAAATTTGTGTCAAGCAATTTCATTCATTTCACAGTGCCTAGCACATTGCTGACTGTGTGGTAAATATTAAATAAATACTTGTTGGTTGATGAAACTGGTACATAAAAACGCTGTATATACACAGGAAGCAGAAACTCAATGTGGTCAGGCAAATTTGAAAGCAGGGCAAGGTTTGGTTCTCCGTGTCAACATTTTCAAGTTACACACTGGGGCAACAAATGAAATAAAATTCTGCCACATTCATAGTTCAACATGTTGTTCCTCTTTCAGTGCTAAAACTTTATATGTAAAAAAGGAAAGCTAGGATTAGGTAAAACTATTTTAAATTAAATGTACACAAAATAATTAAAGACAAGTCATTTTATTGCTTAGTATTTCTTCATGAATTTAAAAGGTGGCTTGCAAAGGTTGCTTACATTTCTAATAGCAATACACCACTTGAAATCTTAAACACATAAGCACCTATTTGCTACACTAAAGCTAGCCTTGAACTTTTAGTGATGCCATATGCTTTTAAATTAACCCTTCTAAACACTGTACAAATCTCATCACACAGACTGTGAGCTTATAACTGAATTAGGTTACCACTAAATACTCATCAGGCAAACTACAGAAAATAAAGAAAACATGCATATTCTTATGGCTCCATGAAAGCCAAAATTAAAGATGATATTATGAGAATTTGAGATTAAACAACTATAATTTAGCTGTAAGATCTCCACGACTTACACATTAAGTTTAACTAAAATCTCTAAGGACCTTTTTCTTTGGAAAAGAATCATACATTTTAAAATAGCCTTTAATGGACAGTCTATTAAAATCACAATGGATCATAGATGTCAACTTCAAATAGTGCCTTTCTTCTAAAGGGCTTAAGTTTACACACTGGTGCAACACCACAAATGCAGATGCTACAAAGGGAGCTATAAAGAAAAACAAATTTTATTCACAACCCTCTGCATACAAACTTTTCCTTCTGTAGACTTGTGTGGAGTTGAAAATAAAGGATGCTAATATGCACATTATGCAGCACATCAAAAAAAAAAAAGAGAAAACACTTTAGTTGAGTGGAAATTCATCCATCTACTGAAAATCTGGGAGAATTCACATATACTGTACTCCAAATATACCCAAGTGCAGAAAAATACTATATGAAATGGAAAAATAATGAAATATTATTTAATCAACAGCTGATTACCTTTAAAACTTTGGGCTTCTTTTCCCTCTGGGGCCTCTTGTTTTCCTTTATAACCTAAAAAAAATCAAATTGCAAAATGAGCCTCTGTTTAAGAAATAAAATCAGCTCCCACATCCCCAAAATTTTTGGCTATTTCTCTGTAAAACTATTTACACCATTTAAAATCATCAACATGTTTGCTAGGCAGAACCTAAAGAGCGTATGTAAAATGTATACTTTAAAAGTCACTAAAAAAAATCTTGCATAAAGATTGAGTAGGGAAATACCCTTTTTTCCCCTTAAAGTCTGTCTTAATTAGCCTCTGCATTCTTCACAGCGAAGCCCACGAGGTAGCCATCTTGCTTGCTTCTGCAGAGGAAGCCTCTACAGTGGAACAGTTCTGCAAACTGCTTTTTGGTATTATTATCATGGTGTTTAAAGGCAGCCCTGGCCTGCCAGCACTGTAGACGTGCTGGGCATGCCTTTTGCAAAAACAGCCCCACAAAGAGTGCAGCCAATGGCAATGCAGAGCTTAGCAACTCCAAAGTGATCTTCTCAGCCTAGCCCTTCCTAGACAAAGGATCTCCTGTGCGGCTCGGCTCTCACCACAGGACACAGGCAGCCACAAGCTGCGACATGGAGTTCGCTGCAGAGGATCTGGTCGCGCCGAAATCACAGGAGGCTTCAGCAAAAACAATGCACACAAATCCCCCAGGTCACCACCATTGGATCGATGGCAGAGCCTTCCTGATTAGTAACCTCTTGGCGGCTCCGAGAGCAGGTCTGCATGGGGGAGGGGTGCGCTGCTGTGCCTCCAATGTACAGGAGACATAACTGAGCCTAGGGGGGCATTTGGGCTTGTTGAAACTCTGGAAGGTATTGTGCATTTTTACTTTATAAGGCAAGGCTAAATATTGGCGATATTTAAGGCAGGGAGGTTATGTGAGGACAGTGTAGGCTCAGCTGTTGGGCTGCATGTCTCATTCCTCGGGAACCACACCTCTTTGCAGCAGGCGCCTTGCCCAGAAACACAGCAATTTGATTTCTGTCAATAAATGTCCAATGACAATGGCAAATTAAAAAATAACAGTAAAGCCACTGAAAAGGAAAAGGACAGGATGAGAACAAAAAGAAGGGGAGGAGTTTTCAAAATACACTTGCCACTCTGAGTGGCTAGAGAGAAAGGACTTTCTCTCTCTTGCTCTGGGCATTTCTGATGACCTTCATTTCCAAATAAAAATTCTCCCCTGCCAGAAGGAAAATTAGGACTCATATCTTTGGGATAAAAGGATACCTTTGGCTCTTCTGTCTCCCAAGATCAACTGTCACTGAGCATCTATTTCCGCAGACCTGTCAAGCAAGTCCGTGGGGCCGGTCTGTGCACCAGACTCGCGGTCAGACAGAGCCACCCACTTCCTAGGGATCAGGACCTGAGCCAGGGGTAGAACAAGCCACCATCTCCCAACACACACCTGGACTGCCCCCCCACACAGTGGGTGGTAGGCAGTGGGACAGCTGGCACCACAGCTGGCACCTGCCAGACACTGGGAAAGCTGGACCAGGAGCCGTGCCCCCCACCACCCCTCTTAGCCACCTGGCATTGCAACAGCGGCAGCAGAGCAGGACAGCTGTGGTGAGCTGGCTGGTCTGAAGGTCACTGCCAAAATGCAGTGCAGAGGGCAGTCACAGTCCCATCACAGCCACCTTGACAGCTGCATAGATCTGGGGAAGACAGCCCTAGCTCCAGCCTTGCAGGGCCAAAGTTTCAGCAGCACATTTGGGGGATTGGCAGGAGGGCCTCCCCGGCTGCTCAGCCAAAGATGGGTTTTCCACTTGCAGTTGGATTCAGAACAGATTCCCACAACCAGAAATCGGGAACAGAGTGAGGGCCGGAAGGCCTGCATTTCATCACCCTTGATTCCTAGCCTTTCAGTTTGCCACAAAAGCATGCTTTTCATTTTGGAACGTGAAGTCCAGCATGCGCTGTTTTTCCACTTTTAAATTACCTCTCACTCACCCACTCCTCACCCACATTTTTAACAATCTCATGTAAGAAAAAAACTACTGGCCGGGCACGGTGGCTCATGCCTGTAATCCTAACCCTTTGGGAGGCTGAGGCAGGAGGATCATCTGAGGTCAGGCGTTTGAGACCAGCCTGGCCAACATGAAACCCTGTCTCTACTAAAATACAAAAATTAGCCGGGCATGATGGTGGGTGCCTGTCATCCCATCTACTCAGGAGGCTGAGACGGGAGAATCACTTGAACCCGGGAGACAGTGGTTGCAGTGAGCACCACTGCACTCCAGCCTAGATGGCAGAGCGAGACTCCGTCTCCAAAAAAAAAAAGAAAAAAAAGAAAAATAAAGCCTAATGGATAGAATATGGAGTTCTCAACTCTTCCTTCAACACTTGTAACAAAACCAATTGGACTCTGAATTATGCACATCAACCAGTGCAACTTTGAACACACTAAGCCCACACTACCTCTAAGAAGCTCTCTGTGAGGAATAAAGCAGCATTGAAACAGGCAGAAAAATCATCAAATACAGTAAGATTTGAAAATAGGTACAAAATCTTTTAGCTGTACATCCCCCCATTTTTGGTGATTAAAAAAAGAAAAAACTGTGATGAAATATACGTAACATGAAATTTATCATTAACTTTTTTTTTTTTTTTTTGGAGATAGAGTTTCACTCTTGTCGCCCAGGTGCAATGGCATGATCTCAGCTCACTGCAACCTCTGCCTCCCAGGTTCAAATGATTCTCCTGCCTCAGTCTCCTGAGCTGGGATTACAGGCATGCACCATCACACCTGGCTAATTTTTTGTATTTTTAGTAGAGACGGGGTTTCGCCATGTTGGGCAGGCTGGTTTCAACCTCCTGACCTCAGGTGATCTGCCCGCCTCGGCCTCCCAAAGTGCTGGGATTACAGGAGTAAGCCACTGCACCCAACCTCATTTTAAGAGTTTTTTTTTGAGACGGAGTCTTACTTGGTCACAGCGAGGCTGGAGTGCAGTGGTGTGATCTTGGCTCACTGCAACCTCTGTCTCCCAGGTTCAAGCAATTCTCCTGCCTCAGCCTTCCGAGTAGCTGGGATCACAGGCACCCACCATCATGTCTGGCTAATTTTTTGTATTTTTTAGTAGACACGGGATTTCACCATTTTGGTCAGGCTGGTCTTGAACTCCTGACCTCAGGTGATCCACCCACCTTGGCCTTCCAAAGTGCTGGGATTACAGGGGTGAGCCAACATGCCTGGCCCATTTTAACTGTTTTTAAGTGTATTGTTCAATGACATTAAGTACATTCACAATGCTATGCAACTATCACCTCTCCATTTCCAGAACGTTTTCCTCCTTGTAAACAGAAACTCCATACCCATTAAACAGTAACTCCTCATTTGCCTTCCCCCAGCCCATACTAACTTCCATTCTACTTTCTGTCTATGAAATGGACTACTCTAAGTACCTCCTATAATTGGAATCATATAGTATTTTTCGTGTAGTATTTTTCTTTCTGTTTCTCTTTGCTTCACTTATTAATAGCATAATATTTACAAGGTTCATCCATGTTGTAGAATGTATCAGAATTTCATTCATTTTGAAGGCGGAACAATATTTCTTTGTATGTACATAACACGTTTTGTTTTTCCATTATTCTGTTGTTAGACATTTGGGTTGTTAGTACTTTTTGGTGATTGTGAATATTACTGCTATGAATATAGGTGTACAAGTAGGTATACAAGTAGTATATACCTCAGAGTGGAATTGCTGGATCATATGATAAGGCTATGTTTAACGTTCTGAGGAACTACCAAATTGTCTACCAGAGCAGCCGCACCGTTTTACATTCCCATCAGCTATGCACAAGGGTAGCCCTACGTTTCTTGAAGTGCCTTGCATTTCAGTTACACATTATGCCTCTTCTCTTGAATGTTTGAATATAACTTTAAAAACATCAACATTTTTTCCAGGTTAGTTGTTCAACATTTAGTAAAGTGGCCATGGTATATTATGATATAATTGTATAATTTAAATCAATCAGCCAGGTGTGGTGGCTCAGGCCTGTAATCCTAGCACTTTGGAAGGCTGAGGCAGGTGGATCACTTCAGGTCAGGAGTTCGAGACCAGCCTGGCCAACACGGTGAAACCCTGTCTCTACTAAAAATACAAAAATTAGCCAGGAGTGGTGGTGCACACCTATAGTCCCAGCTACTCAGGAGACTGAAGCAGGAGGATCACCTGAACCTGGAAGGTGGAGGTTGCAGTGAGCCGAGATCGTGCCACTGCACTCCAGCCTGGGCAACAGAATGAGACTCCGTCTCAAAAAAAAAAAAAAAAAAAAAAATCAATCCATTAGCTGTGTGTTCACTAAAATAAAATGAAACCAGGCTCAGAGGGTTAGGTGTACAGAATATCTATATTGGTGAGAGGTCTGTTTTTTAAAGACCCAAAGACAGGTGTTTTCACTGTATAGAACACTCATGAAGCCATACAACATTGCACTTGACAACCTAAGCAAACATCAAAGGCCTGTGTGCACTCTTCTGTAAAATTAGATAATAAATAAAGCCAAGGCTCATCCTAGCTATATATGAAAGTTAATGAACGTGACCAGAACTAACATTAACTTCAAATATCAAATTGACGCTTCACCATGAAGATCTATACTTCTTTGAACACAGAATGGATTGGTAATCTCTATCAGGTGTTTCAATTCCTATACTAAGTGATTTGATGGTCTGAGCTCTGGGCGAGTTTTGATGCAAGAGAATAGTCAGAAATTCTGAGCAGAGGCCAGGTGGCTCACATCTGCAATCCAAGCACTTGAGAGGCCAAGGTTGGAGGATCACTTAAGCCCAGGATTTCAAGGCCAGCCTAAGCTACATAGCGGAGACTGCATCTCTACCAAAAAATTAAATATTAGCTTATGAAATAATTCCCAGAGGCCCAAAGAGGTAAAAATATCTCAGCTTGCATAGCAGGTTAGAACTTGACTTGAGCATGTACCATAAGATGTTTATTAATATACAGAAAAAATATGAAAATATATAGAACTTGAGTTGCTCCCCACT